TGACGCAGGTATTGTACACAGGTAAGTTGGGGAACTAGGGATCGAGCCCTGGGATCTACCTCAGCTACCACGAATTGGTGAATACCGTTTCAGACCATCCTACTGCCTAGGAAGATCTGGTCTATTGGTATGACCGTCCTACTGGCTAGGAAGATCTGGTCTATAGAGCTCATGTAGTAGTAGGGGGCAAGGGCAAAGGTATAACCGGGGCACTTGACCATGTGCTGCACGGAAGGGGTGACCCGAGATTGTAATATGGTTGAGCAGAACATTGGAATGTCAGGAGGGGGGGGTGCTTCGGGGGTTTACAAGTCATAAAAAGGACTGATCAGGACTAACAGGGTCACACAGGTTCACTTACGGCAATTGTAGTCTAGTGGGTCTAGAGTTCACTGTTGACATTGAGCTGAGGACCCTCGACCATGCAGACCTTCCAAGAGGGGGGGTAGGGGGGTGAACCAGAGGAACTGGGTACAGAAGGATCATCTCCTGCCTTGGTGAGTGATCCTTGACCGAGGACACTGAAAGGGGGTCCAACACCCTCAAGCAAGGACAGTGAGTCCTCAAGGAGTTGTGTGGGTTTGTAAGGGAGGGTGTTAAGGAGTTATGATGACCAGTGTCACCCCCAAGCTGGATGTGCCATGGTAAGTCTGATCGTGCCACATGCGACCATTAAAAAAAAAAAAAGATGGTATGCCCTCAGGGTGGTTTCAAGTGTTCAAATGAGTTGTAAATTGTAATCCAATGTCAGGCCTGTGCGGTAACCCGTGTTCTGCAGCAGTCTGGGCCCTTGAAACGGAGCCCAGACGACGCATGCCAAATTCGGCCTGCGCCAGGCAGTGTGACTGCACACTGCCCATGAAAAAAATTAACAGCCTAAGTCAACTGTCAAGGCAAAGGTATCCCGCCCAGGCCCTTGGTCGGATACACTCACTTGTTGTGCGCAGGTACCCAGACTGCATCGAGGCCAGAAGGAATTCGGTTTCAGGTCAATCTGGGCGATATTTGCGTCGAGATTTGGACGGCTGAGGGATGCGGCATTCGGGGTCCAGACCCCGCGTCAACGCTACTTGAGCGCTGACTTCCTGACTTTGACATTCATTCAGTCTTGCGTCAATGCTGACTTCACGCATTGACGACGCGACGCTGGCTTGATGCTGCGACGCTGGTGGACGCTGGCTTTGCGCTGGAACTTGGGAGATCACAGCGACGCACTGCTGGCTCGGCATGGTGGCTGGCTGGCTATTGTCTTCATGGCATACTGACGTGGCAGCTGTCATGCGTTGTTGCTGACGTGGCCGCTGCCACGTGTTTATCTTCTGACGTGGCTGGGCTACGTGACCGGCATTGCTGTTCTGATTCATCGTCACTCGGGAGGAGATCATGACTGTGGGATGATTGTGGACACGTACCTGGTTATCTTGAGGTCGACATTGCTCCAGTACGCTGATGAGGGACTGATCGACGTGCCAATTGGCACACTGGAATAGAACTTCAGATGTGTGTTCAGACTATTGATTATCTAAGGTGGTGATCGAGGAGGGAGCCCGAAGCAGGAGTGGGCCTTGTTCTTTATTCCTCTCCTTTGTCTAATCTCCCTCCTCTCTCCTTCGTCTGTGTATGATTATCCCATCTCTTTCTATCTGGACACTATTATGATTATTGATAATCATCAGCAGTTTCATCTGGGCTTGCATTGTTGACAAGTGTCTTCACGATCTGGGTTCATTGCACCTGTCTAGATGCCATTTTGTGCTAGATGAACCTGGTGTGTTTCTCATGTTGGATGCACAATATGACTTTGGACTCATTTAGTGACCACCACCTTCCCTCCTGTCGTCATGAATATATTTGAACCCTAATAGGGTTTGTTACTTTGTGTTCATTCATGATGGTGGGGCGTGATGTTCAGGTGATGAAGGTAGTTTTCTATGTGACCAGACTCGAACCGGAATGGACACTTGCCCAGCCGGGAAAAAAAAAAAAAAAACATAAAAATTAAAATCTTTTTTACGTTTTTTCAATTTTAATTTATTTTTATTTTTTTTTGCCCAGGAAAATAGGGTGACCGGGGTGGCCCGGCTGGTAGCCCAGTTAAAATGTTTTTGAAGTCTTCTGCAAATGGATCACTTCCTTGCAATTTAAATACTGTTTCAACATCTTCACTTTTCCCAGGCATTCTTGCTTCACAGCTGAAACCATGAGTAAGCCGTCGATTGCAAAAGCATAACGGTTCCACTGTTATGAGCCAGCTTATCTATAAGCGTTCACACAGCTATGTGCAATGGACCCAGATCGTGAAGACACTTGTCAACAATGCAAGCCCAGATGAATATCAACTTGCTGATGATTATCAATAATCATAATTGTGTCCAGATAGAATGAGATGGGAAAAACATACACAGACGAAGGAGAGAGAGAAGGGAGAATAGACTTAGAAAGAAAATAGAAGACAATGCCCACTTCTGCTTCAGGTTCCCTTCCTCAATCACCACCTCAGTAATCAGTAATCTGAACGCGAATCTGAAGTTATAACACAATGTGCCACGTGGCACGTCAATCAGTCCTCATCAGCGAGCTGGAGCAATGTCGGCGTCAAGATAACCAGGTACGTATTATGTACCAGATTGAATTTCAATCCACAAAGAATTCACACGTTCCCATACACGCATGCAATTGCAGAGTAGACTCGAAGGAGGCAAATCCACACAAAACCGGAGAGAAGATATGCACAGCGGAAGCTCGAAATACACAGGGAATTGAAAAACGAATTTCAATTCTGTAATCCCCCGTCCTCCTCGAATCAATCCAAAACAATCAAAAACAAGTGTTCAACGAAGTCTGCAGGAGTCTTCTTCTTCCTCCTCGCCACCTCATACCCCTGGCGATGGCTGCCGTAGCAGCAGTAACCCCACAGCTGTCACAACCTGCCAGTCTGAACCAGCAACCCCAATAATAGCAGTGCCAGCTCAGCGCCTGCACGGCAGTGCAGCGCTGGAAGTCCTGATGAAGAAGGAGACAACCAATCCAGTACTTTGAAGAAGACAAAAACGAAGTTCCTCTTGAGGAGGAACAGCAAATATGGCTGCCAAGTGTAGAAAGGCAGCGACCAAACCCCAAACAACACAGTCCTGGTGAAGCTCTTGCGCAGAGCTGCTAATAGCAGCAGTGCTATCTCCAACTTCGTGTCCCACCCCCAGCTATGGCTGGGCTTCGAGGAAGATGTCCTCGCCCAAAATAACGCAGCTACGCTTCCGCCACGAACGGGCAGCGTTCCCCAGCAAAAGTGTCGAGAAAAGACCCGACCCAAATTTCCTGCCCGCTACTTCTACCCTCTGCCTATACCTACGACGGACTAACCAAGCAACAACCGAAGACTCACCTGTATCTAGATGGAAACAGAGGAAAAAAGGGGACCTAGACCTGTCACAAAGAAAAGGCATAGGCCGAATGGCCTAAGACTACCAAACAGAGACTACTAGTAGCTGACTCAGGGATCAAGTCCCATACATCTCAACACTCACAAACAAGGCACGCAGATCACAGGTCACGGGATCAAGTCCCGCAAGGCTCAAAACAGGCAACACAGCAGGCCAACGTTGCGGGATCAAGTCCTGCCAATAATGACAGGGGGGAAATTAGTGTACAGCCCGCTTGTAGCACTGCAATTCATTGCATACGTATCCACTATTGCTCCACAGTCATGATCTCCTCCCGAATGTCATCGAAACAGAACAGCTACGCCAGTCGCGTAGCCTCGCCACGCCAACAATAATATACGTGGCAGCGGCCACGTCAGCGGCGGTGCGTGGCAGCTGCCACGTCAGCATGCCCAGAAGACAATTGCAAGCCAGCCACCATGCCGAGCCAGCAGAGCGTCACCGTAGTTCGCCCATTTGCCAGCGTAGAGCCAGCGTCCAGCCAGCGTTGCAGCGTCGCGCTAGCGTTGTCGTCAACGCGTGCAGTCAACATTGACGCAAGACAGAATGTCCTTCAAAGCCAGGAGGTCAACGCTTATATAGCGTTGATGCGGGGTCTGGACCCCAGGTGCTGCATCCCTCAGCCGTCGAGATCTCAACGCAAATGACGGCCCGGATTGTCCTGCAACAGAATTCCCTGTGGCCTTGATGCTGTCTGGGTACCTGCGCACAACAAGTGAGTGTATCCAACCAAAGGCCTGGGCCCGGTACCTTTGACCTGACAGTTGACTTGGACCCTTGGAGTTTCCAGGGGGCAGTGCGTGGTTGCACTGCCTGGCGCAGGCCGTATTTGGCCTGTGTCGTCTGGGCGCAGTTTTGGGCCCCAGACTGCTGCGGAACACGGGTTACTGCATATGGGGAAAGGTCATGAAGCACAAAATACACTGAAGAATCAATACTTGGAGGGCAAGGCATCCCCTGTTTTGCCACATGCGTGGGTCCGGTCCTCCAAGACCCGTTAGGACTCTCTTCAACCTGCTCATGGCTAGATCGCCCGGTCCCGGGTCAATATGTGGACTAGGTCCTCCCAACTATCTATACGCCTACACCTGGTCTTGGATCAATACATGGGCTCGGTCCACCAACTACGTACAATAATACTACAATGTCATTACGCCTACGCCTAGGGGTTTAAGCTTGCTGTATCAATTTACTCACTGACCCATTATGCAAAAGGTGCGCCGTTAACCTTTGCAGGTCCATCATCCATTGACTGATGATGCATTTTTCAACCTTCAACTGATTGCTTGTGTCGCGTTTCAGGTTTTCCATTTCGCTCCGTTTTTCGGAACTCTTCCCCCTTCTTGAAAATTTTCCTCCTTTTCACAGGAATGCTTGATTTGTTGCAAAGATCCGAAAGCAATATTCAAAACATTTGTACGCTTTCTTTTCCATGCAAGGCTTTGATATTATGCTCTGTATGTGCTGGCCTCCAGTGTTCTGACTGTCCATGTTCAGGGAAAGGAACTCACTCGAGGCGGGATGATCAGAGGTTGTCTTCATCTGGTTGACCTTGCGGGAAGTGAAAGGCTGGATAGGAGTGAAGCGACCGGGGAACGGCTGAAGGAGGCACAACATATCAACAAGTCACTCTCTGCACTGGGGGACGTGATTGCCGCTCTTGCTCTGAAGAACAACCATGTCCCCTTCAGGAACAGCAAGCTAACTCAGCTGCTACAGGATTCATTAGGTAATACAGGTCTCTCTGTGGGTCTGTTATTCATCGCTGAACTGGCTATTGCTATGCTGGCCTTTGGAAGAAGAGGTTTTGGAGGATTACTTGACTTTACCTTCGGCTGCGCCTAACTTGCTTGGATGTTGTCGACGGATTACATACATATCTTCTCATCTAGTTGACCGCCGCCGTGCCCTGTACAGCTGTTAAAAACGTCGCAAAAGGAAAACGTAAACAATCACTGTATGAGTGTTTGCTTGACTAGATGATCCATTGATTTCATAAATCATATCCACGGATATTTTAAATCCTATCCATCGGTTTCATAAATCCTATCCGTTGATTCCATGGATACTTTTCAACAGCCTTGTGAACATCATGAACTATTCACGATTTCCAGTGTTCCCAATATTGCCTTGGGTTGTCACATATCTTCTTTCAGGAGATTCTCGCTATAGAATGAGAGCGTGGGATTGTGTGCTGTTGGCGGATTGCTAGAATGAATGAGATGCAGTGAAAAATTATTGGCTATGTTTCTTTTCCTTGCGCGGACTCTGCGGTGATTCCCGGAATTTGTGTGTGTAAGATTGCATGCCTGCTTGCTCTGAGCCCCCTTAGCTTGGAGGCAGTGTCGTACAGCGCAGCTTGGAAGAAGTAGAGCTAGACCAAGGAAGGAAGAAGAATGCAAAAAGAAATCAGAAGAAGGAGAAGGAGAAGGAGAAGAAAAAGATGTAGAAGAAGGAGAAGAAGAAGGAGAAGGAGAATAAGAAAAAGTAGAATTCAATCAGCCTGGAAGAAGTCGAGGAGGGAAAAGAAGAAGAATGGTTCAATCAGCTTGGAAGAAGTCGAGGAGGGAAGAAGAAGAGGGAGAAGAAAAAGAGGATTGGTTCAATCAACTGCAAGAAGTCGAGGAGGGAAGAAGAATGCAGAAAGAGANGATTGGTTCAATCAACTGCAAGAAGTCGAGGAGGGAAGAAGAATGCAGAAAGAGAAGAAGAAGAAGAAGAAGAAGAAGAAGAAGAAGAAGAAAAGGGAGAAGAAAAAAGAGGATTGGTTCAATCAATTGCAATGTCATCTCTCTTGCCCTCTCGCCATCATCATCTCCCTTCACATAATCGCCACTGCCTCTCATACTTTCTCAGCACATTCCAGTCCTCCAACCCCAGCCCTGAGCTCCTGCCGGCTACATTGGGGTTCATGAGCTTCTATGCCTGCCTCTCATAATTTGAGCAATTATATGCAACTGCTCTACCTCCTCTCCTCATGGAACTGCAACTGGCTACGGGGGTTTTATCCATCCCTAGCACGGATGTTCAAAGGACAACAGGCAACTACCATGCCTCTTCCATGTCCTACCACAGTTCCCTCGCTCCCCGATGAAGTCTATGTCTAAATGGTACCCCAACAGGGGCATTTCTGGAAAAGTGCCAACCAAGGAAGTGAACATGGAGGTCCACCATTGCCAAACGTAACTTTCTCTCCACCTGAGTGTTACCCAGGTGTTACCCCTGTGCTACCAGTGCCTGGTTCTACTGGTGGACGTGGAGGTAACGGTCTCTCCACCTGAGTGTTACCCAGGTGCTACCCGTGTGCTACTGGTGCCCGGGTCTACCGGTGGACATGGAGGGTCACCATTGCCAAAGGTAACTTTCTCTCCACCCGAGTGTTACCCAGGTGTTACTCGTGTGCTAGTGGTGCCTGGGTCTACAATTGTGGGCTGTAATCCTACCTAGAGGCCCTGGACCTAGTCCTTTCACGAACCTCGTACCATCATTGGGTACCTGCCATCCTGCCGGACTCTGGCGAGTCTCTGAGTTGCTGGAAGTCCCTACCGGGTTTGTAGCAGATTCTACTTTTGTCCATGTCCTTACTGCCGTCGGTGTCGTCGAAATTTGGGTCCTACCCCTGTAACCACACCTATTCACAGCTCTGCTGCTCACGGCATACAGCACGAGAACAGGGTGAGGACAGGGTCACAGACTCAGACTGATCAAACATTTAATAGACTCGTGGACGCAGACGACACAGCAAAACATTCATAGTCAGATTCGGAAACCTAACCGAATCTGGTCAACCAAGAACAGTTTCTCCAAAAAATGCAGAATCCGAGGGAGAACAAGAAGAAGCAGAAAAAAAAAACAACAACAGAAATCTCAGACTGCAACGGTGCGGATCATTGCGTTTTCTGAACTTTTCTCAAATTTTCTCTCTTTTCTTCCACTTGCATGTGCAGGAGGACAAGCGAAAACCCTCATGTTTGTTCATATCAGCCCAGATGACGAGTCGTATGGGGAAACCATTAGCACTCTGAAGTTTGCGGAGAGGGTGTCATCTGTGGAACTGGGAATGGCCAAGAAGAATCAGGAGTCAGCAGAACTACGAGACCTGCGAGAAACGGTACGTGGCAGAGCATTCGGCTGGGCATTGCTCATTGCCTCCTTTCCACAGCAGTCAATCACGCGCACTTAATGGCCTTTGTCAAGCGCCCTTGTGCCGTGTCCAGCACATATAACAGCTTTCTCTTCCTTGGATCCTTCAGTTGATGCCCTAAGGTAACAGAGCCGGTGCAAGGCACTTTTGTTCTCCTTGTTGGTTGTCTAATTCATGATGCATATGCTCTGAAATGAAATTTCAAATTTCAAATTTTCTTTTCTGTGCATGAAACACCTGTTCAAATTTCAATTCTTTTCATGTCTTTGTGGCAAAAGTCTCAAGAGAATGTTGGGCCACTCTGAATATGTGTGTGCATGTGTGATGATGTGTGTATTCATGTGTATGTTCATGTGTGTGTGTGTGTGTGTGTGTGTGTGTGTGTGTGTGTGTGTGTGTGTGTGTGTGTGTTCACGCGTGTTTTTGCGTATATTCATGTGTGTATGTCCATGTGTGTGTGTATGTGTGTTGTGTGTGTGTGTGTGTGTGTGTGTGTGTGTGTGTGTGTGTGTCTCAAGAGGATCTGGGTGAAGGCAGTCAATATCACTCTGTGAATGTGTGTGTGTGTGATGATATGTGTTGATGTGTGTTTTCATGTGTATGTTCAGGTGTATATACATGACTGTGTCTGTGTGTGTGTGTTTTTCTGTGTGTGTGTGTGTGTGAAAGAGAGAAAGTGGCGAGGGGGTGGTGGTTGCTGATGGAAGGGATGAAATCGTGCTCGGGGCAGGGTTCGCCTATGGAATGGGTGAAGTCACGCTCACAAGAATCAATTGGCCTGTTTTTGTTGCTATCTGTTGTTTTTGAATGTTGCATTTGCAGGTTGCAAATCTGAAAGAGGCATTGCAGCGCAAGGATGCAGAGATTGAGAGGCTGTCCAGCTTGCAGAGGGACTCTGGAATGGCAGGACCATCTGCCCAGCCACGGGCAAAAGGGTCGGCGCAGCAGCCGCAGGACCGTGGCCGTAGGTCACAGAATCAGAATTCTGCAGAACCTACTTCAGCCGTATCCAGGCAAGAGGACAGGGGACAGAATCAGGCACAGCAGCCTTCATTGGAGCGTATCCCATCTGCCAGGAGCAGGCGCAACGTCTCAACTGTTGATTCAAATAATTCCATGCGTTCTGAAGGGGCGACACCACCACAGCAGACAGCGGTCTCCATGAACAGGGATCGGGAAAATGAGGTTGGTATTGCGCATCTACACCATGTCGTATCGGTAGTGGAATGCTGTACCTGAGGGCACATTATCGCATCCACGGCCCTCAATAAGTTGTTTTGCACAGACTCTCTTCTTCACCAGAATAGGCTGTACACTGTACAGTCATTATCACTGTGTCTACTCTGAAATTGCCCCAAATACTGCCATAATGACCTTGCATTCTATTCGTGTGAAGACGCTTAAGAGTTCTTCATGCCCAGTGTGCACTGTGTGCCGTGCAATTGTTTTTGACCGGACTGGGAAGAGTTCTTTGTGTCCAGCTCGTATCGAGTGCTGTGCAGTGTGCTAAAAGATGCTGAGGAAGAACAGTCAAGAAGTCTTAGAGAAAACGTTTTTTTTTTCTTCTTTTATTTTTAAGAAACACGACGGCCTTGAGATGATATCATCTTTGACACTTAAAAGTTGCTCCTGCTATTCAGCCTAGGGCCTTGAGTATTGTACAAGGACGTGCTGTAGGGGAGTAGCTCATAGGCCCCGGCCTGCAGGTAAATTGACAGGTATGTTACTTGTGGTCTGTATTTCAATTTTCAACAGTTCATGGGTGTACCAACTGAGCGAGAACAGTGGGTGAATAAAAATCATGAAAGTTGAAACTTGAAAAATAATTCACAAAATAGGAAAACAAGCCGAACCGGCCTCGGCTTCCTTCGCTGTCCAGCAGGTGCACGTACATGTGAAAGAGAAGAACATGGAGGCAGGATGCAGGTGCTAGGAGAGGTGTGATACACAGGTTTATGTGTTTCAAGTCGCTCAGAAGTCGTTGCACACGGAAAGCCGTATGCACCAGAGACAGTATGTGAGTCTCAGTGAGAGTCCATTAAACCACCAGTACTTGGGCACTGCGCACCGGTTTAAGTAACACGAGTAAGGGGTGCCAAGGATTGTTAGAGGAAATCAGCAGTAGCTTCCGAGATCACGTGTGGGTAAGGTGTTCCAAACTAAGGGAAAAGTACAATAAGTTCCTTGGGGACATCCATGAACGAATTGGAGCGATACAGAGACGAGGATTAGAGTGGCCAAAGAAGGAGAACAACGGGGAAAAAGGGTCGTAACGTAAGAGCTCGACGTGGCGGCACACGGGTTGCTCCGTTCGACCCTGGACCCTATACCTGTGACCCCAGGACTTTCTCAGACCCCTCTAAGACAAGATATGGGACTCGAATCTAGACTTGGACCAAAACGTATGACACTGGACAATGTCTGTGTGGATTTTGGACCGATTTCATCTCACAACTTCCAAGTCACACTCGAAAATCATCGGCCACAGAAAGCCATATGCATTAGAGACAGCGTATGACCTTTCGGGGCCTTTTTACTAAGATCAATTTGTAATATCGGTTCTGGTCAGTTTAATATCGGATCCACTAGTGCGGCCGCATGATATTTATATAACAGAAAAAGAAAAGTATGTTGGACTCAGGGACAATCAAGGTGTCGGGGGGTGGGGGTGAGGGTCTGTTGAATATCATATACCAGCCTCCATATGTGAAACCGCCTAGCACATATTGTTGGTTTGAGTGTTCTTTTTTCCTTTTCTTTTTTGGATCTTTTGCTTCCTGAGCAATATGTGGTGTGTGCATTCTGTGCATACGTTGCACAATGTTCCTACCGTCTTCACCCGAATAGAATGCCTGCTCATTATCCCCGTATCGAGCCTGAAAGTTGCTTGAAATACAGCCATAATGACTGGGCACTCTGTTCGGGTGAAGACGGTATGGGATTTTAAGCCATTCATCCTGTTCTGCATTATTGCTTGTTAAATTGAGAGCAAAGTTCAGCAAACAGAAGTCGCTGCAGTTACGGAACCAGTACATCCAAGCCTCTTTTTGCCGTGGCGGATTTGCAATGCAGTCCAAACTTTTTGCCAAATCGCCATTGGCGCACCTTTTTTTTCCATTTTGGCGGGCGGTGTGAGCCACTGTTGTCCCCTAGCCCCTCGCCCCCAAAATTTTTGGATCGGCTTGATTTCAGTTCTCAAGCTCGCCGGGGCAATGTGCTTGCAGCTTAAGAGCAATTCCGGTCAGTGGGAGTTTGTTGTTCTTGCTTAGGACAGATGCTGAGATGGTGAGGTGGATACAGATGCTGAGATGGTGAGGTGGATACAGATGCTGAGATGGTGAGGTGGATACAGATGCAAGGAATATGAGCGAGAGCGAGAGACAGAAATCCAAGTTGCGAAATCGCACAGGACAGATGCTGAGATGCTGAGCTGGATACAGATGCAAGGAATGTGAGCGAGAGCGAGAGACAGAAATCCAAGTTGCAAAATCACGAAGTAGCCCAGATAGTCATGTACCAAGCAGAGAGCACAATGCACCAAGATACTGTCCAAATAAGAGCAATACAATGAACTCGTATGTCAACTTCGCCACCCTCTGGTCGCACCAACACAGTATCCAATGTCGCTCCTACTGTCTGATGCTCAGCGCCCAGCCTACTCTACCCAGCTATCTACACCTATCTACGCTCTTGCAACCAGATCACATCGAAGTTGAAGACCAATGTACGTGACGTCATCACCAATGCCGACTGCCAGCATACACCAGGTACGTTCTATTTCGTCCCCTCGTCACCCCTTGTTCCCCCCTCTGCATGCGCCTCCTACCCGAAGACCACCATCGTCGTCACCTGGATCCGCATGTGCTGCCCGGCTTTGGCCGCCGTGCGCCCACTGCCACCGCAGTGCCCTCCCACCTCTCAGCACCCGTATGCACCCCAGCCTGTCAGCACTAAGCAGCTCTCATCCGACAACGCAGCAGTGTGGCCGCATTGCCTTGGCAGGCTAGAATCCAGAGCTCAGGGGACACACTTTCCTTTATGGAAAGTGTGACCGCTGCTGGCTATCCTGGCCATACGTGTGGGGGCCCAGTAGCTTCAGTCTGGCCCCAAGTGTCTGCGCCCAGGCCCAGCTTCAGTTACTGGCCTGGGCCCCGTGCAGTTAGGCACGTTCAGGCAGCCACCCAGCCTCCAAGTTTTCGCAGCATTCTCATTAGCTCGCGGTGCATGTGTGACGACAATGCTGCTTTCTCATTAGCCCGCGGTCAGTCCGTGATGTGTCGGCCTCACATAGCACGTACCCAGGGCGCAACCACCTGAGCCCTGGGCTCAACTGTACAGCGCAGCCCTTTCTTTTGGAAGGAGCCTGAAGGCTCACGTTGCTCTGTAACCAACTGTTATGCTGCAACTGTCTGATACCCCACTTATGAAAAATGTTGAAAGTAGGCCTCATGTGGATATTCATGCCCGCCTTCACTTCGGGTGGGCACGAGGTCGAGGGAAGGTGTTCGGGCAACCCCTATTCGGCAACAGATGGATCACAGACTCCCACGCCCGAATCAGGTGTAGCTCGGACTCCCTTTGGTGGTGGTGGGTCAAGCATGGGGCGTTAAGGGTAGGGGACCTTTGGATGAGGAAACCCGGGATTGAAAGAGTACGGGAAGAATGAAATGATGGTTGCCATACTTGCGGCGCACCAGTGCACTGCGCCGTGCGGTGCGCTGCGCCATGCGGGATGCGCTCAGCTACACCTCACGCGCACCGGTTGCGCTGTGCACGCAGCGAATTGAGACGCTGCTTTTTGCCAGTGCGCCTTGTGCGCCGTGCCTC